CTGGACTTCAGCTCCCAGAATTCCCCAGCCTGCATGCTGGGAATTGAAGTTCAGACACCTTAAAGTTGCTGAGGTTGAGAAAAACTGCTCGGGAACACTTGCTTCCTTCTTGTCTGCTTCCTAGATGTCATTATCGTATTTGCCGGCGTATAAGATGACTTTTTTGCCCTGAAAAACATGCCTCCAAGTGGGGGGGGGTCGTCTTATACGGCGAGTATATAACAAACTCTATATTTTGAGTGGAAATGTTGGGGGCTCGTCTTATACGCCCAGTCGTCTTATACGCCGGCAAATATGGTAGTTTAAAATTTGGACACCTGAAAAATGCAATGTATGTTAAAGTAGGATTTTATTTCTTTATACAGTATGCATTCATATAGGATTTCATTTGCATTCATTCACATTTTTAGTAGCTCAATAAAGTATATAATTTCCTGACAACTTCAGGAAATTAAAGTTAAAAGTAGGACTTCCGGTTTGAGCTTCTTCGGTGACGGACTGAAATTCACGATCATGCGCGGTTTCGATCCGTGCTCGCCACTGGAGCACCCCGAGCCGGCTGGTTTCAGGGCTAAGCCACCCTATAGAGATGGTGAAGAGGGGAGAGACCGCCATCAGGGTCGAGGAGAGCCGCATCTCTTCTCCCCAGCTGGCCATTACTCCCTTTCCCAAAGGTGGTTGCAGCGGTGGTCAAAATGGCCACCTCAGAGAAGAACTCGACCAGAAAAGAATGTGCAGGAGGAAGATCAAAAGAAAGTTTTAGCTGACCGGGTCGAACTGAAAAAGCAACAACATAAGGTACCCTGGAATTTGAACTATAAAGAATAACATTACTCCCAAAGAAGATTTTGAAGCGGCGAATGAGAGAGGGAAGGGAAAAGATTTGGTTGTTTTTTTCTGTCCTTCCCCATATTAACAACTAAGAGATTCAAGTAAGAAACTGACAAAAGTCCACTTTGACATTAACAGGCATTTAAGCTGAAAATAAAATGTCAAAGGGATAATAAAGACTTCTGGATTTTCAAAAACTTTTAAAAGAAGGAAAGGAGAGAAACGGAAAAAACAAAAGGGTGGGATCTGGAAAAATGGAGACCACTTGAAAGTAAAAGGAATTAACAATGAAACTTTAACAAGATTCCTAAAAGATACATTCCAACTGAAACTTTGTAACAAGATAATAGAACCCCAGGAACAGAAAATGGAAAAAAGAAGCAAGAAGAAACAGCTTGGATTATTTTTGGATTTTTGGTTATTGGATCTAAAGGACTAAAATCAATTGGGTGGTTGTTTAAAAGTTTTTAAAATGGTATCACTCTTGGAAGAATTGAAAATGGAACTTAAAAAACAGAAAGAAGATGCACAAGAAGGAAGAGGTTTTTTTGGCTTCATATTTCAATTTTTAGAAATGGAGATCCTGAACTATAAGAAACAACAAGAAATGCCTGTAGAACAAGAAGGGCGGGACAAAGAAGAAGCCATCTTCAATGACCAAGTAATTCTCTGTGGGGAAAAAAAAGGAAAGGGGGGGAAAGAGAGTGAAAAATTTAAGATCTGAGAAAACAACCCAAAAAAAAAAAAAGAATAGTTTGAAAAGTAATTATAATATTAGGAAGAAACAGAAGAGAGGATTACAGAAGTGAGAATTAGAATTAGAGAGACAAGGGGTCAAAAGGGGAGGAGGAAGAAGAGGGGGAAGAGGGAAAGGAAAACTTATAAAGGACAGAAACAGGATATAGAGAAACAGGGAAAATGTACAAGGATTAAAGGTATAAGCCTATTTAGAAGACATAGAGATAATGGGTGAAATCTTAATTGAAAGAGGGATTCTGCAAGGATACATAAGATAGTATTGTTATATTAGAAATAGAAATGAACTTAGAAAATATAAAACAAGTGTGATTAAAATGATAGATAAAATACTCATTGTAATGTAATGGAATGTTTGTTAATAAATAAATGAAATAAAGAGAATGAGAGAATGAAATTAGAAAAGGATGGGAACATTTTAATTATTATTAATGAGTTATAAAAATTTAAGTGAAGAGAAATATCAAAGAAATATGAAAAAATTATGGAAATATTATAAGTATGATATCTCATTGAAAAGAAATGTTAAAGATGTTAACGATTATAACTAACATTAATGATAGAGTTGAATTGGAATAGAGTAAGTATTTTATTTATTATTGTTATATATATACTTTCTCTTTAAGAACAGTGTGTATTTTAAGAATGTACCAAGCAGAATTTGACTGGAAGTTATGTGTTATATTGAATGTTATAATTGTAAAGGCATAAATTGAAGTTTAAATAAGAGTTGAATGGACAAAAATTAAAAGATACAAAGGTGTCATACTCCAATTAGTAACTACAGGGGAAAATTTTGTTTAATGAGGAAAGAAAATATGAAATTGAAACAGGACATACAAAAGTATAAATATAATGATTAGAAAGATATTGAAACTTAGAAAAAGATATATATAATTGAATTTAGAAAGGAATGAGATAATTAAAAGCAAGGTTGAGAAAACTAAGGGAATGAAAAGTCGAGAAAATGTTAAAATATTACTAAGATATGGAATAGAACACAACGATGAATATGAAATTGAGTTTGTGTCTGTATGGAGAAGTGATAACCCAAAAAAAGACATTTTATTTGTATTATGTTTTGTGAAAACCCAAATAAAACTTTTACCAAAAAAAGGAACTGCTAGAATAGTTGACTCCTCAACCACCAAAATCTTTGGACCAATTGTTTTGACTAGCTTTTAATCTCATTTTTCCATTATTAGGAAGAGAAAGCTGCTTTCTGTTGACAGTTAGAGAACCAAAGGTCATCACCAATAGTACTTTTTATCTTCTAGGAAGAACAAGGGGGAGGACAGCTTGGTCCATTCATATAAGCTGTCTTATGTGGGTAGCAAACAGTGTAGCCTATTATTAGGAAGAGACTGTGAGCATTTTCCTCTTTGCAAATATAACACAGCAGGATAATAATTAGCCTGGACTCAACTTTATTGCTGGTTGCATTAAAAGTTTCCTATCTTATTGCTTTCTTAGCATCTTAAATCTCTTTGTCTTTAAATAAAGAGGGAAGATCCATGTCATTTAGGTGCAATTCCACTTGAGCTAATGGTTTATTTTTCAAGCCACTATAAATCAACTAACCTGACCTCCTAAATAAAACACATGAACCAGAGTTGCCCCAAGTTTAGACATAATGAGAAAAGCTTATGTTTTAAAATTCCACCTTGTATAAATATCAAAGAAAAAGAAGATAGGACTAATACCCATTACTTAAGGACATAGAGCCGTGGTGGTTCAGTGGTTAGAATGCAGTACTGCAGGCTACTTCTGCTGGCTGCCGGCTGCCAGCAATTTGGCAGTTCAAATCTCAACAGGCTGAAGGTTGACTCAGCTTTCCATCCTTCCAAGGTAGATAAAATGAGGACCCAAGATTGTTGGGGCAATATGCTGATTCTGTAAACTGCTTAGAGAGGGCTGTAAAGCACTGTAAAGTGGTATATAAGTCTAAGTGCTATTGCTCTGTAATGTGTGTGCATGTGCACACATATGCATGCACACCTTCAAGTCATTATTGACTCCTGGTAACAGTCTGGATAGGTCCCTGCAGTTTTCTTGGCAATGTTTTCAGCAGTGGGTTGCCCTTGTCTGCTTCCTAGGGCTGAGAGCAAATGATTGGTTCAAAGTCACACTGCTGGCTTTGTGTTCAAAGGCATGGCTACAACTCAGTCTCCCAGTTTCTAGTTTGGTGCCTTAAATCTCTAGAACAAACTGGCTTTCTGCCTATGTTACTTTTTGCCAAATCAAATATTAACCTTTTATTTTTGCAATTAAACCTTTATATCTAGCATAAAGACAGTTTGTTGACTTAACAAATCTTTACAGCTTGGCAGCTGTTAATGGCCCTTTTCCAATAAAGTCCTGCTTTTGCTTCTGCTGATAACATATAGGCTGAACTTCTCCTTCAATCAGAAGCGCAATGCTGCCTAGTAAAGTCCCATTAGAGGTTCCCACTGATTCAATGTAATCTAAAATATTTTGACTCAAACATTACTGATTGCAATCACATATACTATCTTTTGCTTACTAATACAATGTGTCCTACAGCACAGATCTTCCTTGCTTGCTTATTGAATCAAATAATATTTTGCATCTTCAGTCCAACAACTTCTAGAACATCTTATTAATAGACTTATTGAATAAGAGTGAATATTCTCTAACATCGAATCTTTTCTGATAAGAAAAACTGTTTCAGCAAAGAAGCAAACAAGTTATAAAAATAATTTACTGAATTAAAAACAGAATACTGTGTTGACAAAATAGTAGAGGCAGAGAGAACAATGGGCTCAAAATTAAGAAAAACAAAACAAATAGAACAAAGAGCATTAATTGGCACACTTTAGGTAGATAACACAAGTTTTGCCATTCCTTCTATTCTGGACATGCTTATAAAGTTATAAATCTATAACTGGAAGTTTATTCAGAGCATCTTCTGTTTTCCCATTTCAATAAGGCAAAAGCTAATTGTACTTCACAAGTTCTCTAAATTAATTTACTTAACTTACTTACTTAATTTGATTTCTATAGCCACTTAGCAGGCGACTCTAAATAATCTATCTAAAAATGAAGTTATACCTGCAGTTCTTGTTCATCAGTTTCCTACATCTCCCCACTTTAAAAATAAATATCAGTTTGTCTTAACATAATTCTTCAAGAACTTTTAGAAAAAGTTGGACTAACTTTAGAACTCACATTAGTTCTATCACTCAAATCACTGTAAACATATTTGAAAGTGCATTTTATATTATCACAAATATGGCAGTCTATTGTATACTTTATATCATTTGACTGATGTGATTGTGTGCATTCTTCTGGTCTTTCCAATGGCACCTTTGATTTATAATCTATATTTATTAAAAACATTCCTCCCTTCTAAAACTTACAAATGCACAAAAATCAAAATATAACATACTCACATTGAATTTTATTATGTCATATATCAAGTACCGAGGAACAACTTGACCTTTTACCTTGTCAATTATCATTTCCTTAAATAGAAAAGCAAAACAGTATTTTAACATTCATTCAACAACTTTGGCAACAGTTCAACTATTGATTTTAATTAAATATTATTTTATGCAGATTTCCACAACTGATTTTTAACTAAAACATTCTTTTTTACTGTATTTTCAACATGGTTGATTTGATTTATTTCTGTCTTTTGTCAAAATCAAGAAGGCAACTGAAAGAGATGAGTGGGAATAAAATGATGTGGCAGCTTTCTTAGAATTTTATCATTTCTTTTTAATCTTCAAGGATACAATTTACAATATCAACATTTTAAGAATAATTTTTGAAAAGCAGATCCTTTCATAACTCCTGTTCATAACCCCTAGCAGAAAATAACTGAAACTGGGAATCCATAAAGATTATAACAAGATATTGTCATTCTGAGGCAAAGCTACAGCTGCATATTCATCTGAATAGCACATTCTACCTTTCATTAACATGAAATTAATCAAACCCAGGATTTGCAACATAACTCTGCTAAAGGCAATAACTATTATGAGCCAGGATGCAGAATCTGACTCTGACCTTGAATCTGATGATGTTGCTTTTGTCTTGTGCTTCAAGATTGTCAGTCCCAAGAAACAGTAAGCCAGGGTTTAACTGAGGCTGAAAAGCCGCAGACGTGTCCTGTTCTACTACAGCAGACAGGTGACTATGCCCACCCCCCCAAGTCCTAGGTTACATGCATACTGAATTAAGTAGAGCAACAATCCTTGATGAGACTCTTCATTAAGCAAAAAGTGAGGCATGAGTAATTGCAGACAGCTGTCTGCAGACAGATTTAGATAGCTCCTTTGCAGTCTTTGTTGGAGACAGCCATTTGGCTTCCCAGCTCATGACTCTTCTTCCTGCTTGTTTGTGATCCCTTGACCAGCTGACTACCTGATTTGGCTTTCTGTGGCTCCTGGAAAGTATTTGGACTAGGCTATTCCTTTTTGGACTCTAATGACACTTTTCAAGCAACACTCTGGTAGGCATTTGAATTACATTTCTGTCTGTTGTTATTTACTTCAACTACAGTAAACAAGTTCTGAGTACTGTATCTGTGTGTGCCTGTTACTTTGAAAGAGAACAATAGGTGAGAACAATAGTAATTTCCATGAAGATTTCTGTGATCCTTATTGTGTTGCTAAGGAAACAAAAAATAACTATGGGATGGTCGGGGGATGCTTTGAATTGCCAATAAAGAATTCTGAAGAAAGTGATTATCTTTAACAAGCACTTTGTATTTTATGAGAACTATTCCTGACCTTGAATATGATTTTCAATGCACCAAATAAAAACAGCTTTTATTCAGGCCAATATTAAACCTAAGGAGCCAATGACTCCTGTTGAGACTTGTACTTGTGCTGCAACGGCTAATATGCCCTCTGATTTATTTTCAATGTCTGTTAATTTGTTGATTTGTTCTTTTTAAATCTTCTAGGTTTAGACAAAAAAACACCTTACTTCTGAAAGAAAAACCTCTCATGCTGCATTGAAGTCATTGGTTCTGGGAAAAGATAAGGTAGCAAATCTGAAAAGGATATCACACAATGTTGTATTGAAAGTTAAGGATTGGGTAAGGGATCTCATTACTGCCTGTCAATTTAAATAAACCCAAGTGTGAAATTATATAAAGTGATGGTGATTAAAGATTTTAAAAGATATATTCATTTTTTTCTCCACCAAACACCATGAACATCATTGTTACTGTAATGAAGTGAAGGAAAATGAAGGAAAATGCCCATGTAAATTGCCCTGAGCAGAATATAGGTCAAATGATCAAGCATGCTTAAAATACTCAAGAATTAAATCCGCTCAAGAAATGATCTGTAGATACATGTCGCCTTAAAAGCAAGGCATTTCCATTTTAAAATGGTAAAATAAATATAGTAGTTCCATGGTAAAATAAATATAGTAGGATCTCTTGCCCAGGACCAATTTCAATTTCAATCTTTTCACTGGTGATTAACATGACAGACACATTTCACTACTAATGATCTATCACAATTCGTAGCATAAAGAAAACTTGCTTTGTAACAGGATTTTTATAATATGGTGTATTGCTGATGCTTGTCGCCAAATTTTCTAGAATCTATAAAGTTGCTTCAAATAGGCTAGAAATATGTGCATGAAGGGACATTTTATCATCTTTGGTGCAAATGTAAAAAACCCAAAACATTTTGGATACAAATGCACACACAAATTCAGAAGATTCTGAAGATTAAAATACAACTGAAATCAGATTCCGCATGGAACATGCTGAGATGACTGAATTAACTTCTTTGATTAGAGAAAAAACATCTACATTGATAGTTGACTGGTAACCCCATGCAGACTTTTCTCATGAAATGCAGGGGGAGGGGAGGGGGAATGCACTTATGGTTTTGTATTTTTGATAATTAGAAAAAAAAACTGTATAAAAGAAGTCTTTTCCTTCTTTTCTCCTTTAACTTATTAGTTTGTGCACTTAGGTTTTTTGTAAAAAAAATTAATAACATTTCTTTCAAACAAAACAGTGTTGATTGACGCATTTACTTGCTATTTCACCAAAGATCACTGCGATCTTAAGTTAAAATAGTCATATTTGTTCAGCTGTGGAATGATAATACCAGCAATAACAAGGAGCTATCTCTATTAAAATTTCTCACTTTTAATGGTTCTCTGATAAGGTCCAACTCTGGAACTTGGGAATAAAAGCAATAAAAAAATATTATAGTGTGAATATTCGGAACCAATCCCAATGACACATATTTGGTAAATAGCAATTTATTTTGTGAACTCTAGGAGTCTGTCCTATAAGGGTAGCATCTGCGTTTTACCATTATAGTAATCATACAAAATCCAATGCTGGGTTTAAGGAAAGCATGATTCTGCAAAGAAAACCTCTTACCCCGTCCAAAAGAGTATTTTCTAAATGCACCCGTGGATCTTTACGAAACGGAAACTCCAAATTAGACACATGAAACACAGAGTTATCTCTGTCAATCATATAAACTTCATTCTTACCATCAATTAACATCATATACCTAAGGGGGGGAAAAGAATGTAATATCAATTAAAATCCTATTTCCTTCACAATGTTTATAGTTATTGAATCTTGTTCCTCTTAACAAACTTTTTTTCAAAAAGAAAGGAGAATTGCTACTTTCAATTCAAGCTGAGTTTGAACCATTGATTTTTAGGATCATCTGTTCATGTAATTTCATATTACATTTGAAATGACATTAGACAAAACAGATATACATAATTGAAAATTATACATTGCACACTCTTTAAGCAAGCGAGAACAATGAATGCTACAGTATAAATCTTTATGCACAGACCTACCTACAGTTTGCTAAAAATTATATCTCTCACGGCTGGAACAAAATGAAATTTTTAAAAAATATGTATGCTTCCTATATAACATCATTGGAACAAATCTCTTTAATGTGGAAAAGCAAATGTGTCCAGTTATTTGCACCTATGCATGAATTATTTTGAATCAAAGGAATAGCAGACAGGATGAACTTTAAAGCTAAATACTTGCCAAGAAAGTCAATAGCAAATCATCTTAACAGACATACTCAAATATCCCATTTGTAACTTGATGAGCAATATTCCTTAATTATATAATGAATGTTCATGAAGCTCTTTTAAAAACTACCTGTAGAAAACTCTAGAATTCATTCAACATTAAAGATATTTTATTTAATATACTTTACAATCACGTTATTTTACTGCTTTTATAGCCAGGTGATTTAAGCATCCTTAATCATTACTAAATCAATCTATAATGTGTCTTTTTATAGGTTTGGTGATTTCCAAATTGAAACTGAGAAAAAACTAAAACTCTTATTTTTTTAGAAATTTAGGCATTTCAGAGATTCAACCTACCATGAGCATTAAAAAAAACCTCCTTTTTACAATCCTGTAATCCATTAATTTGAGGTAGAGTCGGGACGACTGGATGGAACAGAGCATTTACTGGCTGGATGCCCTTCCTGAAACTATGCAGAATTCATAGGAGATATTTTTGTTGGCACCCCAATATTCTTCTTTGTTGAAGAAGAATATTCTTCGTTTTGGTATTGAACATATGTTCAGAACCACCCCTGCTTCCTTGCACTATCTTAAGTTCTAGTATAAATTAAATCTTCATAAACCCAAATTCTTTCCATTCTTACATTAAAATGTTGCATTGAAAAGAGAAAAAATGAGGATCTAGTAATTTTATAAACTATCAGGAAGCAATTTCATTAACATCACTTCAAAGAAGTATTTCATTTTACCTACTACATCCCAGCAATACTTTTGACTGGAAGAAAGAAAAACTCTTTTATTTACTGGTTTTGCATCTCTGTACATTTGAGAAATGCAACCACTGGGATTTTATGCCGAATTACTTAAACCAATAGAAACCCCCAAGCATCAAAATATTATTTATGCAACTTAGAAGTTAATCAGGTTCAAATGTAACAACAGATGTGGCACAGAAAAGCAGACTGAGCTAGCATGTTCACATTTGGCTTGTTACAGCTAACAACTGCGCACATGTTATTAAAATACAACAATTATTTTCCCAAAAAAACAACACAATTTCCTCAAGCTAAAGGAACATTGCCTCTATGTATCTCTTTTAATAATTTCAGGAAATTATAAGTAAGCCTCAAAAGCAAAATAATTACATTTCCTAACAATTGGATTTCACATAATTGGTTTTAGTCAGTTTGCAAATTTCTACACATAAAATGTAGGATTACCTTCTCATAACTGACATTTATTTCGCAGACTACAAACATCTTTTTAAAATTACCCATAGCTTTATTCTCCTAAAGATGAGTGTCTCATTACCTTTGCTATGCCATTCAGGCCTGAACGTTCAACTCTACTCATTAGAAAAAACATCTGCTACAAACATTATTAATGAGGTATGTATCTAGGGACTGGAGAAGGCCACTAACCACCTGGGCTAATTATACTTTTTATTATAAAAGCCAAGAGCACCACATATAGAGAACAAACCTCTCCTTCCTGTGATAATTACCTTTCTTGTATAATTTCAATTTTGATAACCTACTTCTTCCAAAGTTATTATGTTTGTAAAACTATAGCTCCCTTAGCTATTAAATTTAGAAGCCACCTGACTCCAAAATGACTCTGGCCAGCTTATATTTAAATAGGAAAAAGAAGGAAAGAATTAATCTAAATATCTGTAAAAACTATCAACCAATCACCCAGGATTCCCCAAATATCCTATCCTAGGGATTAGGAAACTAGACAGGCTTTAACAATGTGTACAATATCATCAAGGTAGTACCCAAATGAACCTCTGGAGGTGTCACAACTGAGAAGGTATACCTCCTGGGTTCCAGGTGACAATCCCAGATGTGGTTCACCTTCAAGTTCTCCTTCTCCATGATCATCCTGGAGAATGTAGCATACAACCATTTTGTTCTTACTCTAACAACAGTTTCATTGTTTAATTGACTATCTCTAATTTGTACAAGATACATTTTAATTATGCTAACTTGGAAATTTAGCAATTTGTCTATTTTTAAAACATTTATCAATATGATATCAGAAAAAAATACTAATACCAACAGGCAAGATAAAACAAACTATGTTTTAGGGTTTCTCAGAGTATCCCAATAATTATCTTTGTACCAAGTTATTAAATATAAAAGCAAACTCAAAAAAAAAATTGTATGGCTATAACCATATCAAAAATTTCCAACGATCAATTCAAAATCTCTGAATCTTAACAATATCAGAATTAGAGAAAAAATATAGAAAGGAGGTTAGAAATTTATCAAATGGCAATCCTACATCTCAGAAAAGCAGATTAAAGCAAGCTGCATACATAAAGCAGCATTACTTACTCTATAGTTTCATCAAAATCACAGATTTTAATACAGAATACTTCTGCTTAAAGACAATTAATATATAAAAGAAAGACCCCATAGGTAATTTATTATATAAATTACATTAAATGTTTAAATTCACTGCCATTTTTATCTAAGCATTTTCCTTACTTGTTCATTGTGCCTTTGAACATTTTCTCTAAAAAAAAAAATCAGTAATAAAATGAATAAAACATATTGTGATCGGCCTACGGGGCCTGACTTTTGGTATACCCTGCCTGTTGGGGAAAATGTACAAATGAAATATTCAGCCTTTGTCAGTATATATGTTATTCACAGTTGGATGTAATCTTCTTTAAATCATCCTGACTACAGCTGCTTATTTTCTTAACAGGTCAGCTTTCATGTACTTCTGCTCTTAATTTCAGTTAATTGAAAGCATTAGTTAAGAACCCACCTGCACACTGATCAAAACAACCAGCACCCAACTGATCTTACGTTTTCTTCCCGTCACATTAGTGAATAAGGTTAAATGGGTGTTGCAGCATTTAATATCCCATGTTAGTATATAAATAATTCATTGGCATGTGTTAAAAGCAAAATGATTCCATTTTTATTTGGAGACAAACCTTTCATAAGTACCATAGCATTTATACAGTAAAAAACCTTTATGGTAAGACAAAACATGCAAATTAAAACGAAAGATGAAAAGTACTGGTATAACACATAAGGAGCAAGCTAAAAATGTTCAGACTAATGATTTTGCAACCATAGTATAAATTAATTTATTAAACTGTAAGCTATATAAAACTGTACCAATAGATTTTTTTAAAAAAACTTAATGTATCAGAATTATTGAAATGACTCCTTTAATTCACAAAGAACTTCAACTTACCGAGTTCCATCTGCTTTCCAACTTACTTTATATGGCTTTTGCTCTAACAATTTAATATTCTGTTCATCCATGGATATAGGCTGAGCCCCAGGGAATCCAGTCCTAATGAGAGGTGGTGAAAAAGGATCTTAAATAGTACCCAGTACCAACCATTTCTAATCAGTCTTTCGTGAATATCAATTTTAGTATCAGTTTGAAGGTAGGAATATTTTTAATAAGGTGGACTTTGCACTCCATTTAATCCATCGCTGGATCTCCAGACAATTTCTAAATTAAAGTAGCTTTTGTTATGAAGATTATTTAGAACACTGCACACTATTTAACCCCATACCCTTTTATCATCAGTTTAATACTGTAGTTATAACATTAAAATGTAGAAGTTGATAGTTGAGGATCAAGGATTGACAAAAATTAGTTGAAAAGGATATTAGAGATTGTAAGGTAGTTGTCATACACCAGTGTAGAAAAATGAACTGCCAGTTCCTTTTAAAAGCCTGAACCTTTCCTCTGTTTTCACATTTTTTTAATGGTAGAAATAAATATTTTAGAAACAATGACATTTTTGGACTAGTGCTTCCGGCATTTACGCTTTACATATAGCTAAAAGCCAAGTGAGTTTTGGGTTTGTTTGTTTTATTTTATTTCCTTCTAAATAGGGTCAGGCTGCTATAGATTTCAGAGATTCAAAGACAGCAACAATTGGACTGTATGTAGCCTAACTGAAAAGGTTTTGAGGAGGCATACATACCAATAAAGAAAGCAAAATGTTATAAAATTAAAATTAAAATAAGGTAAATCTTTTAAAAATAACATATATTTCAGAAATATTTCCAGACAACTTGAGGGTTTATTGATAATGAGAAGACTAATAGTATGCATGAAGGACTTGGTGCATCATATACTGAGAATCAAAACAAATACACTGCTCAAAAAAATAAAGGGAACACAAAAATAAGACATCCTAGATCTGAATGAATGAAATAGTCTTATTAAATACTTCGTTCATTACATAGTTGAATGTGCTGACAACAAACTCACACAAAAATTAGCAATGGAAATCAAATTTAGCAACCCATGGAGGTCTGGATTTGGAATTACACTCAAAATTAAAGTGGAAAAAAACACTACAGGCTGATCCAACTTTGATGTAATGTCCTTAAAACAAGTCAAAATGAGGCTCAGTAGTGTGTGTGTGGCCTCCACGTGCCTGTATTACCTCCCTACAACTCCTGGGCATGCTCCTGATGAGGTGGCGGATGGTCTCCTGAGGGATCTCCTCCCACACCTGGACTAAAGCATCCCCCAAGTCCTGGACAGTCTATGGTGCAATGTGGCATTGGTGGATGGAGTGAGACATGATGTCCCAGATGTGCTCAATTGGATTCAGGTCTGGGGAACGGGCGGGCCAGTCTATAGCATCAATGCCTTCGTCTTGCAGGTACTGCTGACACACTCCAGCCACATGAGGTCTAGCATTGTCTTGCATTAGGAGGAACCCAGGGCCAATGCACATGGTCTCACAAGGGGTCTGAGGATCTCATCTCGGTACCTATTGGCAGTCAGGCTATCTCTGGCGAGCACATGGAGGGCTGTGCGGCCCCCAAAGAAATGCCACCCCACACCATTACTGACTCACTGCCAAACCGGTCATGCTGGAGGATGTTGCAGGCAGCAGAACGTTCTCCACGGCGTCTCCAGACCCTGTCACGTCTGTCACGTGTGCTCAGTGTGAACCTGCTTTCATCTATGAAGAGCACAGGGCGCCAGTGACGAATTTGCCAATCTTGGTGTTCTCTGGCAAATGCCAAATGTCCTGCACAGTGTTGGGCTGTTAGCACAACCCCCACCTATGGACGGTGGGCCCTCATATCACCCTCATGGAGTCTGTTTCTGACTGTTTGAGCAGCCACATGCACATTTGTGGCCCGCTGGAGGTCATTTTGCAGGGCTCTGGCAGTGTTCCTCCTGTCCCTCCTTGCACAAAGGCGGAGGTAACAGTCCTGATGCTGGATTGTTGCCCTCCTACAGCCTCCTCCATGTCTCCTGATGTACTGGCCTGTCTCCTGGTAGCACCTCCATGCTCTGGACACTACGCTGACAGACACAGCAAACCTTCTTGACACAGCTCGCATTGATGTACCATCCTGGATGAGCTGCACTACCTGAGCCACTTGTGTGGGTTGTAGACTCCGTCTCATGCTACCACTAGAGTGACAGCACTGCCAGCATTTAAAAGTGACCAAACCATCAGCCAGAAAGCATAGGAACTGAGAAGTGGTCTGTGGTCACCACCTGCAGAACCACTCCTTTATTGGGGATGTCTTGCTAACTGCCTCTGCTTTCCACCTGTTGTCTATTCCATTTGCACAACAGCATGTGAAATTGATTGTCTGTCAGTGTTGCTACCTAAGTGGACAGTTTGCTTTCACAGAAGTGTAATTGACTTGGAATTACATTGTGTTGTTTAAGTGTTCCCTTTATTTTTTTGAGCAGTGTATATCCGAATAGACATATAAGTTATATCATTCTTATTTAACTAGTACTTCTTTTATAATATGAACATTATGGTTCTTACACTCATTCATTTATTCATTGAAATAAATAATATTTTTTTTAAATAAATTCTTCTGGGTCAATCACAGTTGATTCAATATTACTGAAAAATTTCCAGAATTAATTTCAGTGGAGTAAATTATAGATGCATCAATGGAATTTTAAAAATACAGCTTTAAGACTGTACAGGTTTGTAAAAATGCTGTCCCTATAGCAATGTTTTTTATGCCAGCATCATGTAGAAGAGCAAGTGGGGTAGGGGGAAGGCAAAGTTAAGTGTGTCATTGGAGTTGTTATATTGCCACAAGTTCTCCAAGTCTAGCCCCCCTTGAATGCTGTTGCCTCTTATCTAGTGTCAATATAGTGCTGTGACTGACTATATTCTTATATATAGGCTTGAGTTATAAATTCTGAACTGCAACTTAATGAACATATGGTCCTGATCATGAAATATCACCACATTTTAATTAACCACTTCAAAAGATATTCATATGATCTTATCTGAAGATGCTTATTTCATTATTTCAGTTTATGCCCATTCCTAAAAAAAAACCTAATGATGGTCCTCACTTACCAACAGGCTTAAGCAAGTCCCATAATCCTTAAGTATTACCCAATGCTAAGTAAGAAGTTTATGAGAGCTAAGATCATCAGGAGGGCGCCACTTTTTTTAGCTGTATGTATGTATGTATGTATGTATGTATGTATGTATGTATGAATGAATGAATGAATGAGATTTATTTGGCCATTCATCTGAAGTTAACTCTGGGAAGTTTTTACAACAACTTTAAATGAATAAAACAATCATACAAACAATAAATAAAAACAGCAGAATTGTCTTTCTTGTGATGCCCGCGGCAGGCTCAGCTACTCTCCTTCCATGCCTTCTACCCATAAAATCCCAGCACCTCAATAAAATAACTTCCTCATTCTGTAGCCCAGCCAAGCCTATTAAAATATGTATGGCAACATTCCCAAGGTGGGCAAGTGCCAAGTCCTCTGCAATTTATTCTGATGCCCTTGTCAGCTGCAGCAAGGCAACTGATCCACTGCACTACTAATCACCACAACCATTGTAATGGAGAGACTGCTGCTCAACACAGTTCCACTTGGTCATTCTCCAGAAAAGCACACCAGCCACAAACTACTCGATCCACTTCTGTCTTGCCAGCTATCTGCGCCATTGTTGTTGCTGCTGCCACTCATTCTGTTCCTCCTGTTGGCCAAGCAACCAACACCATTCACAACATCCTCAAACAAAACAAGCCTAACCAAGCAGACATCCATCTTGGTGCCATGATGGAGAAAATGTGTTGCAGAATATTTAAATTACATTTTAAAAATTATATTCACGTACCCTTTCCAGCCACAAAATTGTTGGCATTTAAGTTGGATTTCTCCTAACCTTGGTTGAGTTGTTACTTGAATTACACGTTTAAGTGATATTCCTTCCAAAAACACAGCACCCTGAAATGTAAAAGAAAACATAATTTTAGAATACTATCACCAACACTCAGAATATTTCAAATTTTATTTAGATTTCAACTTTCAGTGAATGTAATTTTAAATTTAGAATTGATTAGATTATGTGCCATCAAATCAGTGTCAATTCTTAGCGACCACATAGGTTTTCTCCATGAGGATCTGCCCTAACCTAATTTCCAGATCTATGAATGGTGCATCCATCACCACTTTAACTGAGCTCATCCAGCTTGCAAACTTATATTTTTTCTTCTTTTAACAATCCTGTAATATCTTGCATTGGGGTGGAATCCGGGAGAATGAATGGAGCTGAGCATTTACTGGCGGGATGCCCTTCTTGATGCCTATACTGCTGGTATTTTCTCTTTGAGCCCAGAGAGAGAAATACCTGCCACTATCTAGGATTGAACTCACAGCCTCTTGATTGCGAGGAAAGAATTCTACTTCTGGGCCACCAGGCTGCTCAGCATGCAAAGTTAGAATAAGAGAAAGAAATTAAAAATATAATAAATGTCTACCATCCCTTCACCTGTAATGCAGAAGAATGATTTAATCAAAACTTAATTTTCTACCAAATTACAATGGATAATCTATAAAGTCACTATCATAGCATGATCACTAAACATAACCATAGACTGTAATAGCTACTAATTGTAATGGCTCAAACTGGATGCCTAGGATCAGAAGCAACAATCTGAAGTCACAGGGAAAGTTGCTTGCTCAAAGTAATAGAAAAATTCTTTCCCAGATTTCTAAATGCAAAAGAGAAAAAAAGATGTGAATTTGAAGAATTAAAAAGAACTGGAATGATGGAAATAATTAAATGGGAATTAGAGAAACAATGTGTAACTAATTAGAAGACAACAGACGTCACCTTAATCTTAAAATTAAATCAGTCATGAGATTCTATCAGCCTGAACTTCAATGATAGAAATGCTCAGTTCCATTTGTGTCTAGATTGATTACCAACCTTACTACCTTCAGACAATAATAAAAACATTAAGAGTTGGTTAAATTATAGGTAGCCCTTTATTTACCACTGTAATTGAGCCTAGCAATTATGGTCTTAAGATGTGAGGGTCATAAAGTGTGACTGTACCCATTTTTACAATCTTTTCTTACAGTGATTGTTAAGTGACTTGTGTGATTGTTTAAACAAACTCATTGTTCGCTATGGATGGTTTCTTTGCCAAAAACCAAAAGTAACCACTAGTTTGTCACAGAGCATCATAAATGTGGACTAGTTGCCCAAAATATGGTCACATGATTACACAGGGAAGGGGTTTGACATTGGAATTTCAAAACCAGGTTAAGCCCATTTTGGGAGAGTTGAAGTAACCTAAAATGATCTCTAAGCAACTGGTCATAAGTCAAGAATTACCTGTATTCACATGAACTTTGAATTATGTACTATGAGCAATGTTTTAATTCAAATAGCATTGACCTAGAAATTCAAAAGTTATACTTAGTATAGATCCTAGTAAATGACATCTTTAACCCTTGAATATGTTCTAAGTATATAAAACTACAGTACAAGGTTTTTATATGGTATATGCAGTTATATTTATATGGTATATGGAATTATATTTATTTTTCTTGAATTTTGACTTATTATACACTACCAGAGCAACAATGTTCAAGCCTTGTTCACTCATTCATTCAATAACTATAATGGGAAAAGATACCTTAGCTTCTATTTATTCAGCCATTTTACTTTCCATCTTGTATGAATCTTGTTGAGGTGGGCCTCATTGAGATGAAACTGTCACACATTAAATCAGACGTTAAAAATGAAGCCACTAAGCATGGCATTTAATCAACAACCCCAGAGGCAGGCAAAATAAGGAACTATGATTTAAGATGCAGCCAAACCATAAATTTGTCAAAATATTTAAAAGACAGAAGGAAGGAAGCCATTTTATAATCTGAGACAGAATGTTTCATGACAAAGATAGTTCTCTCCCTATTTACCATTCAGAATACTTACGTGCTTGAGCAAGTAATTTAGAGCACAGTTTCTCTTGCTAACCTGAATAAATGAAATCCTTCATATTAATTTGATACTATGATGTATTTTGTTTAAAGGAGATAAAACAGTGTAATTAAACAAGAAATTAATGTAAGCACTAGATAAAATTCTACCACCTTTTAAGTAGCCACTTTTCAAAAACAGCTGCAGGTAGTCTGGGTTCAACAAATTATCTGTTGAATCACAACTGAGTAACCTTATACTGAGTGAAAACCAAATAAACCATACAAAAGCCTAGAGTTACATTGTAATTAAGTCTCCAGGTCTTAGCAACCAGCAAAAGTGTACATCAACTTCTCATCAACTATACTCAATCACTTTTCACTATCTAATATTACAATAATATAATTCACCAATTCTATCTATAGATTCTTGCAGGACCAAATGATGAAAGAAGTTTATATTGGCCTAGTTAATGATAAATAATATGTGAATTTGATGGCTGTTTTGCCTAATAACAGCAAGTTTTCATGGTTATTACCTTTAATTCTTAACCTCAATAAAAGGACCAAGCCAGGATTCAGATAAAAACATGAACAGAAAACATACTGACTGGGTTTACACATTTTGCTAAACTAAAACAAATTATTTTAGTTCAGTTTAGTTCAGTTAATTCTAGCAAGAAAGTCACAACTCAATCTTCTTCATAAAACACAATCAAGACAAATAGATGTCACTTATTGCAGATTTGTTGAATAACCACTTGATGACAACTGTGGATTGATTTCTGTAAAGGTATGGAATGGCTAGTAAGCCCTGATTCAGAACAGGATGCAAAAAAAAGTTATGTAACTGAAATCAGTATCTCTAGCTAGAAATTCTTGTTCCAGTTAATGTTTTTTTCACCAAATATCACTGGAGATGAAAAGTTGATATCGTGAAAGAATCTTAATAGAAAAATAACAGAAACAGAAAATAGGAAAAACCCTATCTTAAGTTAAAAAGCAAAAAGAAACTAACAACAAATCAAGAGAGCAGCAAGGCTATCTCTGGCCCATGAATCTGGGCATATAGCACTCAAGCTGGGTATAGATATACGCTGCCATGTCAGCATAAGGGCAGCTCAATAGGAGGGACAGGATTTTCGTATCAAAGTGGTAACGGGGGTTTAGTTGTTTTCTGTTGGCTGTGCTATGGAGATGCTATGCAGAATGGAGGCAAACATGGCTCATTCTGCAGCCAGCTCTCCAGAAGTAACAGCTAATTAAAGTAACAGATGCTAATGAAAACTGCTCTGCCCTAGTTATGCATCTTCCAACTCAGATTGCTCAGGGTTTAAAGCAACATGCCACTACTAAAATTGCACATTCCCAGCATCAGGTAGAAAGGGGGTGCTATGGAGGTGGAGGCTAAGCATTTTTAAAAACAGCCCTACATGTCATCCTCTGGATCTGAATTTCAGCCGTGTGGAGTTGTACGTTTGGAGTGCTAAGCCAGGCTGGGGGAAGGGCAGGGGTTGTTGATGTGGGGAAGACAGACATTCACAACAGGCTGGATAGGAGTAGAATATTGAGAAGTAAATGACCCAACAGTGGTACATCAAGCTTGATGGAAGAGTAGTGTTTTGGAAACAAAACTGGCAAGAACAGCCAAAACTAGTTTTAACATTTAGTTTTAACTAGTTTTAACATTTAACCACCAATCACAAAAGGAACCACTAATTACATGGCTGGCTAGAATGCTTGAAAATTCACTTATCATTTATTTATTAATAAAATATTTATGCCACGCAACAGCTCTGGGCTGTTGACATGTACAAGAACTATAAAGCCAACAATAAACCCTAATGTAATATCACCCAGAAAGAAGAACTAACAAATTGTATCTCCCACCAGAAAAGTCCCACATGTAAGAACTTGAGATTGAATTGTGTGGAAATGTGAAACTAACTTAAAGTTGCCATCATCTAAAAATAGAGGTGGCATGGGTGCAGAGAGGACAAAAACCCAAACATCTTTCAAGAGATAGATAAGAATCAACTTGTTACGGAGAAATGTTACGGGATTGGCACTGAGCACACAGAAAAAAACCTCCTAATCCCATCAACAGCTACCAGACTTATGAATCAACAAAGCGAGGACTTTAAAGGATAAAAGGGTTCCTAAAACTGAATGCTGGATGCAGACTTTGTGGTTTCCATCTATCTAGCCCGTAGATAGACAGCCTAGTTGAGAAATGCATTGGTTACCAGGTGATCAAATGTGAGAGAGAGACAGGAAAATCCTGTGAAGCTTAGCTGAAATTTTGAATTAATCAAATCTCCATGTATTCCATAACACTATGTACCCCACTGTTCAGTTTATTTGAATATGTTCCTAAATATTTCCTGGTTATTAATCAGCATTGTTTTATATACTCTAGACCCACCTATCTAGAAAACCTAGGTAGAGCAGGAGAGCACTATGAGATGTGCAGGCCCAACAGGCCATGTATAGAAGTGAATGATCATAAGACTAACCTGGATGTGCATGTAACATGTACAATCATACTAATCCACATTATTTTGGGGAAAGAGACATGTTTTCAATTCTCTTCTATAGTCTGGTAAACTAACGGTCACACAAATCTCCAGGGGATGCTGTTTCAGGCATGATAATAGAGAAGCTCCTGTTTCCCGAGTCCTGCTAGATGGTATTGTTAATCAATACCAGCACATTTAATTGCACCCAGAAGTCAACTGGTAGCCAAGGCATTGCACAAAACATAGGGGCTAAAAGGGCATGTACATTACTGCTCATGCTGCTTTCTAAACCAGTTATATCTTTTTAAAAACAGATTAAAACAGCAGCTCTACATACAGCACATTGCAATAATCCTTCCATGAGATAACAAACATCACGAGTGATCATAAGAAGGACATCTGGGTCCAGGAAAGGGTGCACTGGTGCACAAAATCATCTGTCGAAAGGCATTCTGCCACACTGTCTTTCAAACAAAAGCTGTGAGTTCAAAAGTC